GGGGGGGGGGGGGGGGGGGGGGGGCGGGGGTCTTTTTAGTATCGACCACGCTGTCCGAAGAATATCCATCAGTCCATGTCCCCATATTGACGTGAGATCGGAAGAGTTTTGTCTTGTCACCTTCGCTGGAAGTTCAACGTGCGCTGTTCTCCGCGCGCGCTGTAAGACAAGAAAAGAGAGAGGAGTTGGCGTAACCAAACCCTGTGAGTGGCCACATCATCAAGGCCCATGGCAAAGTCGTTTTTGGCTGCGATGTCATGTGACCAACGGTGCGCACCCGTCTATGCCTGCTCCTCGACGCTTTCCTTGACCATGCCACCTACCTGTGGAGTGCTCGTCTCCCTCGAGGGTCCTCTGTCTTCCGCAAGTCGACACGGTGTGCGTTCCTTCTGTCGGAGTTGTTTTCTAGGGCGCTTTGAAGCCGAAGTAGACTACTGGCAAATCAGGCCGTCAGCAAATATTCTCGGAACTGACCCGCAGCACACGAACGTTCCATTGCGCTTACGTGCGTAAACTGATGTACCCGCCCTCCCCCCCTCCCGTTCCCCCTCCCCCCTTTCCTGAAAACACGATAGGGCCCCAACAAGGACAGGCAGTTCTACGTCTGCGCAAGACCAAAGGACGAGGAATGCGGTCATTTCGAATGGGCGGATGAAGATCCCCGAGAAAACAACAGCTCAAGACGCAACAGCGGAGGCAGGGGGGGCGGGGGCAGTAGCAGGGGTGGTGGTGGTGGTGGTGCTGCTGCTGCTGGTAACTGGGGATCGAGCTCTGGCGGGTCAGGCTCAAGATCAGGTGGAAGAGGCGGTAGAGGGAGAGGGAGGNGGCGGCGGGGGCTTGTTTGGCAGCGGTGGGAGGGCAAGGGGGAGGGGGAGAGGGGGGCGAGGGGGGAGGGGAGGGGGTAGATATTGACCTCTCTTGTTCGGCCACGGCTTCGTAGTTCATGCATAGACTAGCACTTCGTGGCCTCTTCTATCATCATGGTTCGAAGGTGGAGGGTTCTCCGGCGGTAGTGGGGAGGTGTTTGCCGCACAGGCGGGGCAGGGGAGGGCAGGGGGGACGATTGACCTTGGTCGCATTTCTTCGTTTTATTAGCTTCGGCGGTGCTATGCGTGCGTGAGTGCCTCTCTTGAAAAACGTGCTTGAATGTTGGTGTGTGACTCTCCGGGACGGAGATGTTGATTGTGCTGGTCAACAATTGCTGTTGGTTCGGTTCATTTCTAACCTTTTCTTCGGTCCAGCTCACACGTTGTGTTGTGGTTACCAAGTGTTGTGGATGATTTAGACGAAAGGTCGTACAGATCGAAAGTTTACCTCTTGCCCGAGAATGAGCCTTTTGCGTCTCCCGACGATGGTTTGTATCGTCAGGGTAGCGGGAGCGGGCGTCGACTACAGTCTGATGCCACGTGGTACTGAATACAATCGTGCTATGGTGTTCGTCAGCGACGTCGTGCTTCAATCGATTGGGTAGGAGACGGGCGGTGACGTTACGTCGAATCACCGGGAGAGCTGCGTCGCCTTGGAACTTGTGGGAACTTGTCGTGACGGAGAGCAAGCTAGACATGATCGCGTGGAGGTTTTTCTTTTTGAAGGAGTTGTTTTCTTCGCTGTTTCTGTGCACGAAGTGTTCAACCACAATATCCTGCGTGAGGACGTGGGCTACCTTCTCAAGAAGGAGAGACAAGGTCTTGGTAGTATCGACCCACTCCCGGGGGAGGAAGTTTGCTGACATGAGACTTGGCAGAGAGCCAGGTCTTGGAAGAAGGGGAAGAAGACACATGCTATATGTACAAAGCGGGCACAAGGTTTCCGTGGTGGGGCTTGTGAATCCAGGTACATCCGATCACGCACGAAGCGCGCATGAAAATGTGCGTTATGGACGAGAAACATGAAATGTGGTTTTGCACTAGGTTTTCAACGCCTGAGAAAATCTCATTACTTTCACCACCATGTCCGCTCGTGGCAACGCAGTTTCCTTGCTAGATGCGCCCACCAGTGCGTATGTGCGTATTGTACATCATCCCAACCACAACAACGGGAGTGTTTCGAAACAGATGCGAAAACGACCGGGATTGAATTGCATTGTATTTGCTTCACGGGATCCAGGCAAATAACGAAGAGGAAGCGATCGGGTCCTCGGCACATCAAGGGGAAAGATTGAGTTGCTAGGATTATCGGCAACTGCGAGAGTAGGACAGCGCACGTAGCAGGAGGGAGGGGAGCGACGGATTTTTGCGCCACAATTGAGAGCCATAATGAGCACCAGGTATTGTACACAAACGTGCCCCATGAGACCCTCAGCGTTGGATTTGTGATCGATGCTATCCGAAAGTGGGACTAGTCTACTGCTGTAACGAGTCTCTCTCTCTCTCTCTCTCTCTCTCTCTCTCTCTCTCNTCTCTCTCTCTCTCTCTCTCTCTCTCTCTCTCTCTCTCTCTCTCTCTCTCCCTCTGCGTGTGTGTCCTTCTGTTCGAGCTCTGGTCCCCTGGAATGCCAGCATGGTAGCATGGTACCCCACGGCGCTGCTCGTTGTTCCCGGGTTGGGCCGCTCGATCCCGAACCGCAACTTCCGTCGGCCACAAAAACCGCACTGCTTTTGAGGTTTTGGTGAGCTGGTTTTGATTCGATGTTTTTTGGCGGGATACACCCAATCCAACACACAGACCGCCCGCGTAGCGCGAGGGCGGCCGCACCGTCTCGTGCGACCAAACCCAAAGGAACCCCCCCCCCCATATCGCTACTGTCGGGTGCGAGACTCCGTGGTTGGAGTGAGATCTGTTTGTGTTGTTGGGTCACTGATCCATAATCGGAGAACTTGTAAATTCCGTTGAGTTTTTACAATTTTCCAACCATGTGGAACGGAGGAGGTGGAGAGGAGCTTGACCCGAACGTTGAAAGCCTGAGGCTCTGCGTCGAGCAAGGCAGGACGATCCACACCGAAGCCAACGGATTCCGGCTCGGCGATGGCAAGCTTCTTCCCAAGGTGGGAGAGACAGCCGACGGCTGTAGGGTTTGCAAGCTGCTCTGCTGCCTTTAGACTATAGACTAATAGTTGGCTACAGCGGTAGTCATGGACCCACGTGCACGTGTGTTCGCCATTGCAGGATCATCAGTGCCGCAGGACGTTCTCTCCTCTGACGATGCGCCTATGGGACTCTGATGGTGCATGACACAGTGTGAAGCGCTCCTGGTAGCCAAGGAGGGGGGGGGAGGTACGCAACGCGCGTTTCGTGATTGATGCGATCGTTGTATGCGGCACGAAATAATATAGGAAGAGAGAGACACTTTTCAAAATTCGCCACCCTTGGTTCAAGGACGACTCTACCACGTCTTCGTACGTGGTTCGTACATGATACCGGCAGCCTCGGATCGTTCCTAGAAGTTGCCAACTCCCATGTTACTGCTGTTTTTTCACCGCGTCTACGCCACACCACAATGGCCTCAGCCATCGGCACCCAAGACTCAACACAAGGAAGGAAGTCCAAAAACATTTATTGCACGCGCTCCACCTTCTACGTCAATGCAACCACTGGTCGCTCCCTAGCACATGTCCAGAGACCCGAACGGCGGTTTCAAACAATTACAACAACAACAACAACAACAACAACAACAACAACAACAACCACACGGTTGGATGGGAGCACCACCTCGTGACGACGATAGACATATACCCACACCACGAGCACTGTCATTGCTATGAAGATGTTCCTTCATAATCCATTTTTTTTTGGAGATCATCGACTACGGCTGTAGGGTCAAACCTTCTCTCCTTTACGACAAATGTTTTGACAGAAACTGGTCATGGTTCTCCGCAAACTGCTGTAGGAACACGTTTTCTGCTGCCAAAACTCTTCATGTAAGAACAGCAATTCACGAAGCAACTGCTGTCAAAAGACACTTGCTGTCATGTGCTCCAATGGAAGGGTTTTTGTTGCACACGACGCAATGGAGGGTTTCTCCCTGCCGATTTCTGTCGCCGGTGACCATGTAAGTCAGCGAGCCTTGCAAGGAGGTGTCCTGTTTTGTTTTGCCTCTTGGGTGATGTTCGTCGGGCATCACCGCGTTCTAAGTGCTAGGACTGCTGTAAACAGACTCAAGCATGTCCAGCAGGTGTTCCTCGACCATGGCCTTTATGACTTTGGAATCAGGGTTGTTGTCTGGTGTAGGTAGCAAATCAACGCTCGACACGATGCAACTTTTTTCTGATACAGTCGACGGTCCTCAATAGCAGTAAGTTGCAGTGACAACAGTTTTTGGTGCCGTTATTCAGGGCAGTGCCGCTACAGTCGACTCCGCTTTAAGGACGCACATGATTTTTTCCGAAAAAAGCATCCTTAAAGCGGGGTTGCGTCCTTGAAATTCAGGGAACGATAGCTCACTATCCCCGGGACCAATGGAGGCATACTATACCTCAAACTACGCGTCTTTTGCTCAGGAAGGGGGTGGTACGAAAAGTCAGCATCGCCGAGGCGACTGGCAACCGTTTGTTGACGTCGAACATATTTACAAAACTTAACATGAGGTGTACAGCAGTCGGGGGCGTGTTGAAAACAACTACAGTACACACACCAGTTTGTACTTGACCAACTAATGTACTGCATTGCCGGCAGCGGAAGGAAAAGGAAAGTCCAAGTAGACATATTTATCTCATTCTTGTGAACCAAAAAAAAACGAGCGAATTTCAGGGTCGCACCGAGAAACACCAGTACATATCACTGTCCCGGCGGAGACCAAAAGCTACCCTGATGGCTTTTCCTTCCACATATCGCGAAGAGTTTCCTGAACCTCCCCCCCCGGCTCGGCTCTACGGCTCTGTTGAGTCCCATGAGTAAATGAATGAACGGTCTTCGAAAGAAGGTACTGCGTCTCACGGTACTCGCCACCCCATCCCTTCGCGTACAAATACAGATAGCGCCCGCAGTTAAGAAAAATTCTGTTAAGAAAAAAGGCTCAAGTTTGCACGAAAAATATGAAAAAAGGGCTCAACAAACATAGCTCAATCTCGGCCAAAACGTAAGAAACGCCACAATAAGAAACAAGATGGTGCCATACCCCCATGACATCAGAAATCTGCGGTGCTCTCACCCCCCTCCCAAGCTGAACAGAAGCGCATTTCTTTTTATAGGGGGCAGAGTCTCCGGCCTCCCCCCCCCGCGCCCCTGCTGTTCACAGTGAGTGCTGTACTGTAGTACTGCCACACATCGCGGACAACCATATGCCCTCCGCTGTTGTACGGGTTTGATGGTACTCTCCACCACCTCTCATGAGGAACGAGAGAATCGGGAGGAAACGACAGTCCAAAGGAAGAAGAAATGCCATTTACGAAAATGGACGACTTGGGCCGGTACTTCGACCCAAAAGAAGGGATTGAGGCTCGAACCGATTTTGACGTTTCTTAACTGTAGGATCGAACGTCCTCCAGTCTCAGTTGTTACCTCGCATACCGCGCAGTGGGAGTGGAGGACCCCAGAATATCTGTCGTCGATTTCTATTGAGTTCCTGACCCCTGGGGACCAGTTTACTTGAGTGTACCTTTTTAGGGTAAGTTAGCCTGCGACCACGGGAATCGACCGCATCGAGTGTTGGACCAGTACGGACATATGAAGGTACTGGGTATTTAATACGAAGACCACAACAACATCAACAAGCGAGAGATAACCTCGCCCTCGGTGAAGGACGAGGTTATGCACGACTTTTTTTTTGGCGGCATCAGATGGACCGCCGGTAGATGGGAGGAATCTACCCATACCAACACCCAGTTGCAGCTGCAGCAGCAGACCGCTCGCTACTTCTGCTCCCTGTGCGTCGCTACTTCTGCACTCACTGTGGTGCGTGGTTCGTGCGAAGAGCGGCCCGCAGGCCCACAGGACACGAAAAGGGGGGTACGCGGCAGAAAAAATGGGGTACCCCCATTATCATATATTCTGCCGAGCCCCCTCGTGGTCAGCAAAACAAGTTTCCTTTAAGCGGGGAGTTTCCTTAACGCGAGCGTCCTTAAAACGGGGTCGACTGTATTCCTAATAGCGGTTGTACTGAGGGATACCAAGCGATTTCGATGCCGTTATTCAGGGCATTCCGCCATTCAGGGTACCGCTATAGAGGACCGCCAACTGTACATGCAGTCGCTGTGAGGTTCGGTCCCCATTTGTACAGAACCTTCCTGACAGGGACGGCCCCGCTCGGGAGTATTCCCCATCGCCTTTCCCCCTGTGTCGTTGTGCTTGGAATGGTAGACTCATCCTTGATCGGCCACACGGATGCAACAACTTGTCGATGAACGATCTCGAGACGCCGTGTTGAGGGTGCACACAAACACACCGTCTTGTCATTGGTCAGCCGGTTAGCGCGGTCGCTACTGACAGCAATACCATGCAGAACACACACGCGCGCGCTTGCGAAGACTTACGCTTCCGCAGTGATTCATGGGTTTGGGTTCGACGGCCGCAAGTTCTATCGAGGCTCGGTTGACGATCCGACACCTTTGTTTATCCTCCTCGCCATTCTCCCTCGTTTTGTCCCGATCTGAACCGCTACATCAAACATCCCCCCAAGCCCCCATCGCTCATCACCGTAGAAGCCAGTTTTTCTAGCGATACCTAAGTGTAATAATGCTATGCTAGCATGGGATGCTTGTCATGCCTGCTGCCGCGCTTCCAGCTGAAGTCGTACCACTCACGACGGCGCAACTAAATACATGAGAATCAAGTCTCAGGTCGATATTGTCATGTATGTAACGACTACAATGTCACTTCCTTCACTCCTCAAAATCACAACTCAATTAGCTCTACTGCCGTACCCCGCAACGCCGTTTGCGTTTCAAAGGAGAGTTTGTATGTTGTCATTTCAACGCAATCTCCCCACCCCCCCACTCCGCACAATTCGAGGATGCAGTACACATAGAACCGACCCCGACCCAGTACCCGAACCCCCCCTGAAAAATAGAGGCCATGCGCCCCCCCCCCCCTCTACCTCCCCCAGAGGATGAGGAGGGTACAGTCCAAAGTAAGCACAAGCTTACCTAAGGTTAATGCCTATTGGTACGGCATTAAAATAAATACTAAAGTCCCCCATTGGGCGGTGGAGGACTTAGAGCTAAGACACCCCAAAACTCTCCGGCGTGAGATCCAAAATGGATCGAACGGTGGAGGGGGGGGGGGTGTTCGTTGCTTGAAGTGGATCGATAAAACATAGAGCCATCAAATCAAAGCTTATTACTCAAGTCGAGCAAACTGATCGACCGGACCAACCACGCAAAAACTGCGGAGCTAGATGTGCGGCACACACAATGCTTTGTTTTCGATTGGAGAGAGGCGAGTATAAAGCAGTAAGGAATTGTTGGCCAAACTTTCGGCAGATAGGTCTACTCGGGAGCGTAAGTGGGGTAGCAACCCATGGTGGAGCGTACATGAGAAGCTGGACGTTGGTGTACGCCCCATCCCGGCGTGTGAGTAGGATCTTAGGCTATGCAAGTCGTCCCTGAACTT